CTTCTCGTGAAGACTGGTCGGAGACTTCCCCACCTCAGAATACTCATCAGTGATGATGAAATAAACCTGAGAGGCTGGTTGTACAGATGTTGATCGAGAGATCGACTTCTGTACTATTCGCCTGCCCATCAAAATTTGTCCGGTCCCTAATGAACTGACCAACTTTCGACCCATCTATGGCCAGGTTTAGTGCTTTCAAAGACTGTAGGATTTGCAGTTTACTCTTTGTATTCAGAGGGCCAATAAAAAAGATATGTTATCAGTTAACTGCATCACATGGATCAAACTTACCATGAAAACAATGTATGACATTTCAAGCTGGTTCTGCCCTTTTTAAGTAACCGGATAACCTTGACCAGGTCCTGGTTTTCAATCATCAACAAATTAAACACTACAGAACTGACCTGTTATCTAACCAAAACAAGTTGTTTGGAAAAAATGTTCTTTAGGCTTAGCCCCCTAAGTATTCATCTTGCTTTCTTGTTATTTTGCTGTCCTGTAGGATAAATGGAGAAGATAGAATTGAGATATCTTTTTTTTTTTTTTTTTTTTTCTAGAATTCCATTGAGACAGCACTGTAAACTTTTGTTTTTATTTTCCTTGTGTATACTAAGGCTAATACGTGCACTTTCAAAATTTTGTTTTCTATAGATGAGCAAAGTCCTTTCTTACATGGCTGTCTTGAGGGATTTCTGGCAAAGGAATAAGCAGAAAACTAACTCCTATTATCACTTATATGCATAGTTTTTAAGCTTTGGTCTGAACATTTCGATACCTAGGCAATTTTGCGCTACAGAAGGAATTGTATTGTGTGTTTTTTTTTTTTTTTTTTTTTTAAAGGGTTTTTTTTTAGTGAGTACATAATTTCCTGTAACAGAGAGGTTGATAATGATAAACGGATCTGGCATGAGGTCCCAAAGAGTTTGATGTGACTGAGCACACACGGCCTGACTGTAGAAGTGTGGCTAACCCATTTTGTTAGGAGTATTCTCAGTGTGTATTAAAAAATCATAGTGATGATTGAGTAACTGCATCAGTAAACTCTACATTATCACACCCATCTTTAAAGTTCAGTCCATTGCTTTAAAGCATTTGTAAACCACACAAGAAAAAAAGTCCCCTGCAGGATAATGCATGACATACTAGCACATCATGATGGGCTTCCCTTAAAACAGAGGCTGACAGGGCTTCCAACTTCACACTGTCTTCCTTCTGGGTTCGTGGGATTTGGCCATTTGAATAGCATGCCATCCATTGAGAGCGCAGTGCACTTGCAATGGTGATGTCACCGACTGCTACTAAAGTAAATATCTCCTACACGGTGCACGTTTAGAGGATATTTGCTGTTCCTACAGGTAATCCTGTAGGCATAAATAGAAATGCAGAGTTTACTACCGCTTTAAGCACGAGTCTTCCAGCGCCATTTATACATGCTGGTTGGTCAACCAGAATTTTAATCTGACTCCCAGGCTGCTGTAGACAGTGTTTTTTAAATTTGTTCAGAGAGCTATTGGCTTTCACGTGGATCATTCAGCGACCACTGTTTTATTCTCCAATGTCTTTGCTTTCAGAAAATATATATTCTTTGGGTGTTTAATTAATCTTCAGGCATAAAATGTGCTTTTAAACGTGTGCAAAAAACAAAAACAGCTCTGGTAGTAAATAGGTTCAGATGTGGCGGTTGTATTTTTTATTTTTGCCTTGTGATGCTGCCCTTAATACACAGTAACACACTAATGTAGCCTTTCTGTATCTGGTATAGTTAACAGGCTACAAGGAACCAATAAAAGACAAGTACACTGTTTACATATATATTTAGGTTTATATAAACACAATTGGCAAACTTTCATGTAATCATTAATGGTCATGCGTACCTGAATAGCTGTGTGTGTAGTGTTATTTTGTCATAAGACATAGTCAGTGACCTCCCCCTCTCCTTTCTTCAGTTTATACAATATACAACTGTTAGCTGATGCCAGACAACCCTTATACATCTGTTGATCGGACTTGCAGAATCTAACCCCCAGTACACATCTCAGGGCTCATAAAAGTGTCTGACTTGGCACTTAGGGGTTTATTTACTAAAGCTGGAGAGTCCAAAATCAGACTCCCTTCTGCATAGAAACCAATCAGCTTCCAGGTTTCATTGCCAAAGCTTCATTGAGCAAGCTGAGGTTAGAAGCTGATTGGTTTCTATGCAGAAGGGAGTCTGATTTTGGACTCTCCAGCTTTAGTAAATAAACCCCCTAGTGTCTAGATCACGGGTGTCAAACTGGTGGCCCTCCAGCTGTTGCCAAACTACAAGTCCCATGAGGCATTGCAAGACTGACAGTTACAAGCATGAGTCCCAGAGGCATGATGGGACTTGTAGTTTTGCAACAGCTGGAGGGCCGCCAGTTTGACACCCCTGGCCTAGAGAGTTATTAGAGATTGGGTCATAAATACCTTAGTTGGAGGTCTGCAGAATACACATCTTTCTCAGTAGAAGCCATCATCATCCCACTACATTTAATAACTTCTGAAATTATGACAGCATAGCCAGAATAACGTCCATATTTACCTTTATCAGTTATTGGGTAGCATTTTGAACCAAACACCCCTATTCTAGAAGATACCAGAGTGGATTAGGCCTCCACACTCCTATGAGAAATGGATATCCGTGACCTGTAATAGCTATCTCTTAATTTATATATAAGCTGATTTCATACTGAACAATAATATGCAGGGTAGCTGACTGTACCCTGCAGATGTTCATGGATATTAATACTTGCAGAAAACTGTATCTGGGACTTGATCATAAAAGTGGTGACATTCCGGCAACACCTGTTAGACCGGATGATTGGTCAGGTGGTCTCTGTCAGCACCCACCTTGATGTGAAGGAAAATGGAATGCCATCACATTTTGACAGCTCTCGTGAACTATCAAGCAAGTTATGAGAGCTGGTAACACCTTGCTTGTTGACTGACTGAACTTTGCTGAAAATAAGGACATTGCAGATATTTACCTTTTTCTGTTACTTGTTCTCTGTTACTTTGTAATACTTTTTTTTTTTTTTTTTTTTTTTTTTTTTTTTTGTAAATATTTTATTTGCACCATTTTACCCTTTTCACTATATTTTGAAAATTGTTGAAATGGTCTCAAAATGTGCTAGTTCAAATGGAAAGAATCCCTGTCTCTTGAAGAGCGCTACTGTAGTATAATCCTCTAAATATACCTGTCTGTGGTGACAGTTTGTGTACAGACATTTATTTTTCATTTTTGTAATTGCTAATCTTCTGAAAGTTTTGGACTATTCAGTAAAAGTCATGGCGGCAATTTAATGAGTTAATTGCTTAGTTAACTATACCCAGTAACAATCGCTCTGTTGGTACCTAGTGTGAGATTGACCAGTCTTGTCACAAGTCAGTGAAGAAGGCGGTGGTCAGACACCCGCGTTCGTCACAGTGGGTATTCGAATCGTGATTGTTGTGGTTGGCAGTCACAGCGGTCACATGATAGGAAAGTTCTCGATCCCAAGTATGAATCAGGAGCTTCCGGTACCCGCGAGTGACTGTGCTGGGAGCACGTAGAGAGTACGCTGTAAGCACAGTCATGTGTTTTTTTATATAAGGATGCATTTATGCGTATGGCCAACAGGAAGAGGTTAAAGCAGGCCTTCACCCATTCTAGCAACGTCCTCTCCCCTGCCTCCAACCCCCTCCGTCTTGCACATTTGCAGGAACATATTAGAAATTAAAAATGTTGTTTTTTTTCCCTCGCTTCCTGGTAGATGTGTAAGACCTCTTAACCTGCGTCCTGTGATGTTGGATGTTGATATCCCATCAGGAAGTCTGCGAGACCTCACATGTGTAGACATTTTGCAGGATTACAGCTAGGGACCTGTGGTGTGTTTGGGCATGCACAAGGGATCCAGCATATGGTTATTCACTCTCTGTGGATATCTGCCAAGTTCCATAGATCTGGCAGACTTGAAGATCCCACTCTTAGGCTGGCCGTACACTAAACAATTTTCTGCCCAATATCTGTCCAGTTTCCTTTAGATTTACCTTCAACTATGTAGTGCAAGAGCCTGCCTGATTGGGTGCAATTAAAAGTGGTGTTAGGTTTGATCTACTATTTATATGGTTTTTGGTAAATCTAAACCAAAAATCTCAAAATTGGGTAATCTATGGCCAGCCTTACATATTTGCAGAAAAAATGTAAACAGTAAAAACATTTTTAAAGTATAATTCAAGGCAAAACTTTTCCTTAGTTTTTGACAGGGAGGAAAGGTATTAGAACACTGGTCAGGCTTTTGTTATCTGCATCTGTTAGGAAGAGTAACCCTTTCTTTTTGCCAAATTTAGTGTTATTGAAAGTAAAAGAAAATCTCAAATTATGGCTGGTCGCAAGAAAAGTAATTTACTGCTAGGGTGACAGTATGTTAAAAAAAAAAAAAAAAAAAAAAAAAATAAAAATAAAAATGTAAAAAAAAAAGTTTTGGAAAATTATAATTTTTGGTTATAAACTAATTTGTGTTATTTTATTTTTTACTAAAAAGATAGCTGAATACATTTTGGCCAAGATTTATGAAGAAAGACTATTTGCTAAATTTTATAAGAAAAACATTTTTTTTTTTTTTTTTTCTTTCCAAATGTTTGGAATTTTTCATTTATATAGCAAAAAAAGTAAAAATCCCAGTGGTGAATAAATACCACCAAAATAAACTTTTATCTGTCTCAAAAAAATGCTAAAAAATTCATATGGGTACGGTGTTGCATGACCTCGCAATTGTCATGCAAAGTGTGATAGCGCTAAACATTGGCCTGGAAAGGAAGGTGGTAAAAGTGTCTGGACTTGAAGTGGCTAATTGACTTTTTTTGGGGGGGGGGGGGGTAAATAGGCTGAAGCTCCCCTTGAAAGGAAAAAACAAGATTTGGCTGGAGTTGTGCTTTAGCAACAATTCTGAAATTGGTGGTACATATTTTGAAATTCACATTTGTCTGTTTGTTTGTTTCAGTCAAACTTATTCCTCCTGACTGTGAAGGCAAAGCTGATAAGGTAAGATAGATAGATATAGAGATATATATATATATAGATATAGATAGATCTGTGTATGTATGTATATGTATGTGTATGTATATATATATATATATATATATATATATATATATATATATATATATATATATATATATACACACAGAAGTTTGTAATTTTGTGATAAACTGTAATTTTTCTTTATCTGTACATCCTTGAAAATTGCTACCTGTCTTATACTAAACAGTACAATAATGTTGTATTCTGTATTATCGAAATCATAATCTTAAATAAGCATTTCTGCATTCAGTGTTTTTTATGTGTTGTATCTGTTATGTAAATAGAATTAAGTTATTGCCATCTATAGCTGAAAAACTAACATTTTGTCTGAGAAGAGCAGTCATTATCTTGGAGCAGATTACTATAAAAGTTTTGCTTCCGAAATTTGAAATGTTTGCTGTCAAGCCACTCAGATATTAGGATAGACCATCATCCAGGGGCAAGTGGTAGTGTATGCTAATTAAATCCTCAAATAGGACCAGAAGAGCTATACACTTGGTGGACTAATGTGTTGATGGCCCCACATCACTGTGCTGCTAGCAATCCACTAGAGAAATGGAAATAAAACACAAGCCTGTATGCTGCGCACTGGTTGGATCAGGGGTGTCCATGGATCCAATAATATTAATAAATGGAGATCTTGCTTCCAAGCAAATCCATAAAGAATAGTTCATTAGACAACCATACAAAGATGGACACAGTCATGAATTAAAGCCAGGTCACATCCAAGCTTCTGTACACTTGTTATGAAAGAGGTCATAGAGACACACATACTGCTGGGGAGGATCGAGTGCCAGCTTCTGATATACCGTGGGTGTAACCAGGTCTGGACAAATGCTCAGCACCAGGGGGAAAACCACCAAGGTTATGGCAGCACTGTTTATACTGACAGGCACTGCAAGTGCACTGAAAGTGCAGTTGCTCTAGATCTGAGGGAAACCAGGGTGGATAAAAATCAATGATTTTTTTTTTTAAATAATCAGATTTTTTTTATTTAAATCCGATTTATTTGATTTTAAATCGGATTTTTTGGAATAAAATGCTTTTTGAGGAAAATATATTACCATCCAAAGGTTATTCCATCATGAAATAAAGATTTGTTTTTTAATTATGTAGAATAAGGCTGTATGTTTAATTTTTTTGGTAAATAAATTCCATTAATCCATTCACAATGTCATGCTCTTCCAGAGGTTTTTGTAAGATTATTGGGCAGTTTCTCTGCCTACAAGATATTATCACAGATGTTTGGTTTACTTTTGCAGTTCTCAAAACTGAATTTGACTCAGCGGAGATCACATGCCTCTTCTTCACAGCAAAAATGTTATAACATGAACAGAGTTAAGAAAAAGACCTTAATCCTAACTTCTACAAACCTATGAATACAGAATCAACCCCTTCAGTGCTAAGTTTCAAGAAGTTCAGTGAATAGAATAGAAACACAATATTTTTCTGATTGTTTGGAGTGGAATAGATCTGCACAAGAAGAAAGTGAAGCTAAGTGTGAGGAGGAAGGGGCTGACAGTCTAAGTTTCTTAAAATATATATATTTTGTTTAGCCAAATTAGTTAACAAACATGGATGTTTGTTTAAGCAAATAACATATGCTGTAATGTTTATGTTTCAGTTGAATAAATCTATTTAAATTGTTATTAAGGTAATGATTATTTTTCTCCTTCCTAAGTACAACAGAAAAGTTGTCCAAATATGAATGATTAACCTATTAAACTGGGGATAAAAAAACTAATATGAAAAGTTATTCTAAAAATCTTCATCTACTTGCATATTAAAGTTATACCAGCAAGAATTAGTCTATGTAGAAAACTATGATTTAAATCAAGCCTTACTGACTAGTGATTTAAATCAAATCCACCCTGAGGGAAACATTTAAGAAAAATAAAAAAAAACAGCATTTTGCTTGCACATGATTGGATGAAATAAATCTGCAGAGCTTCAGGTCATTTCAGAGCTTTCTCGGATATAAACCAACTGCACTTGCAGTGCACTTGAGGTGCATTTGCAGTTCACAGAATATTTACCTTTTTAGTAAATCAACCCCTAGCTAAAACCGTGCAATGATGAAGCTAGGAATTAAGATCTTGAAGCGATAAATTAAATTATATAAAATATTGTACTCACCATCCATCACAGGAGGAAAGTATTGGTAAAAAGCCCTAGTAAATAAATATGTATAATATACATAACACTATGTTCCAGAAATCTAAATTGCTGAAAAACAATAGTCCAATCAATATTGAGCTGTTAAAAGTATATTCATTTATTCAGTAATTTAGCTTTTATTCAGTAATTTAGTTTTTTTTTCTTCACTTGTGACCTGTAGTGCACATATAATTAGTCTGCTCCCTTGCCGATTTGGATTTGACAAGGAAGCCATGAACTTTAAAATGCATCATCCCATTGGTGAGAGAGCGCCCTGTGGTCCTCTCCCCCTCTGGTACAGCTGGTAGGATGGCGGCATCATCACTTCGGGTCTGATGACAAATTCTGGGTCTGGGTACACACAGCACGGCCATCTCCTTGGTGGTTTTCCCCTGGTGCCAAACATTTGATTAGACCTGGTTACACCTGCAGTATATCAGAAGTTGTCACCCAATCCTCCCCAGGAGTTTCACCGGCCAGTATGTATGTCTATATGACCTCTTTCACAGCCATTCAGGGTTATAGTATACATACAGAGGCTTGGATCTGACCTGGTTTTAACTCATGACTGTGTCCATCTTAGTATGGTTGTCTAATAAACTACATTGTTTATGGATTTACTTGGAGGCAAGATCTCCATTTTTTTTTTTTTTTTTTTTATATTATTGGATCCATTTACACTCCTGTTTCAACTGGTGTGCAACATACAGACTTGCAGTGTATGCTAATATGCTGCACATGCATTTTAAATGGCCTCTCTCGTCTTTCTATTTTTGTTTCTTTTTCAGTATTGCCAAGCCATGCAAAAGCAAACCATTCTTCAGATCCTTTCAGAACTATATAATTTTCTGTCGATAGAGGCTGGTGAGTGTGTAATGCTTCATTGTTACAAATAGACAGTATAGTCTGCCAGTCATTTTCTTGCATTTGTGTCAGTTTGAGCTAACAGGCTACATTCATTGATATTACTTTGCTTTTATATTTAATGCTGGTTAGTAACATCTCTATGGACAAAAGTAAACTTGCATATTTATAGGATTTTCAAAGGTACCCTGCTTCACTGGAGTCAAACTTGCTCTAAGTATTGTTATAAGCTCTGCCAGTGTCCAGTGGCCATATACACACTGTACAAAAACATAAGTGTAAAAACAAAGCACCCTGGCTAGTGCAGGGTAAAAGTTTACCAGCAATAAAAAAAAGTAAAAATTGCTCCTAAAATAAGTGACATAAAGGCAGATCACCGAAATGCAATCTCCACAGGAAAATCCAGGCATACTACCACCACATGCAGGCTGGACAATCTAGATATCTGGCAATGGAAGAGGAAGTTAGGCGAGATGGTAAAGCTGATGTCGCTAACAAAATGAATGTACAAAACGGGTGCATTATTAAAGTATAAAAGCATTACATGAAGAACTGGAAACAATTGGACAAGCATAAAAGACAGATTAGATCCAAATATACATAGTCCAGGGAGACAGCAACATGACAAAGACACTTGTCATAAAACTCAAAAGACATTCCCAGGCAACATAAATACAAGATTTAAAAAAAAAAAAAAAAAAGAGGGAGGTAATGGGGTGTGAAGGCAGGAAAAACAAGAGGGGAAAAACAGGGGTAAACCATAGTTAGGCAAATATGGGTGACCAACAGATGACCCTACTTCTCACAAAGGAAGCACAGAAGGCCCTAACATAACCCCTCACTGAGATGTTCAAGAGGCCAAACCTTATAAAATTTCCAGGGACACCCTTGGTAAATGTAAATCAATTTATTCAAAGGTAAAATGGCATTAATCATGACTTCACCAGACGATACAGCAGGGTGCACAGTGGAGGACCACTTACATAGAATTTCTTTCTTTGCGTAATGTAACAGACAGGAAATCAGCAGTTTAGTGTGTGCTCAGGGCATCATCATGGACTGGAGAAAGGAGGCGGACATGGGATGGGGGAGATGGGACTGGAGAAAGGAGGCTGACATGGGATGGGACTGAAGAAAGGAGGCTGACATGGGATGGGACTGGAGAAAGGAGGAAGACATGGGATGGGGGGGGGACTGGAGAGAGGGGGAAGACATGGAATGGGGGGGGGGGGGTCGGGGACTGGATAAAGGAGGAGGACATGGATGAGGGAGATGGGACTGGAGAAAGGCTGACATGGGATGGGACTGGAGAAAGGAGGCTGACATGGGATGGGACTGGAGAAAGGAGGCTGACATGGGATGGGACTGGAGAAAGGAGGCTGAGATGGGATGGGACTGGAGAAAGGAGGCTGACATGGGATGGGACTGGAGAGAAAGGAGGCTGACATGGGATGGGACTGGAGAAAGGAGGCTGACATGGGATGGGACTGGAGAAAGGAGGCTGACATGGGATGGGACTGGAGAAAGGAGGCTGACATGGGATGGGACTGGAGAAAGGAGGCTGACATGGGATGGGACTGGAGAAAGGAGGCTGACATGGGATGGGACTGGAGAAAGGAGGCTGACATGGGATGGGACTGGAGAAAGGAGGCTGACATGGGATGGGACTGGAGAAAGGAGGCTGACATGGGATGGGACTGGAGAAAGGAGGCTGACATGGGATGGGACTGGAGAAAGGAGGCTGACATGGGATGGGGGGGGATGGGACTGGAGAAAGGAGGCTGACATGGGATGGGGGGGGGATGGGACTGGAGAAAGGAGGCTGACATGGGATGGGGGGGGGATGGGACTAGAGAAAGGAGGCTGACATGGGATGGGGGGGGGGGGGAGAAAGGAGGAGGACATGGGATGGGGGGGGGGGGGGGGGGACTGGAGAAAGGAGGAGGACATGGGATGGGGGGGGGAGATGGGGACTAAAGAAGGACATGGGATGGAGGTGCAGGAGGGCATGGGGTGGAGGGGATATTTACATTGCTTTATGTTAATATTGTTAAAGTTGTTTAACAGTGTCATTTCATGAGATAATTTAGGTGTTTAGAGGCAGAATTAGAGGTGGGGTTGGGTGGGGCAACTGGTGCGAGAATGTGAGGAGCTCTGAAGAAATGAATTGGGCCATAGAGTATAACTCCTGAAAATTCTGGAAAACAAAGATTAATTAATTTAGGTGAAGTCAAAACTTGACCCAGGAGCCTGAACATGGCGGCTGTGGGGGAGCGAGTGGCTCTAGCTTGCTGCTAGCTCCTGCTTCCCGACCTCCCCAGTGACCCGTTGTAGAAACCGTCTCACCGGAGTCTGGAGGGCCGTGGAGCTTGGGCCCGGAGAGCCGGAGATGGCCGTGGGACGGAGGCTGCAGAGACGCGCCGGTTCCCCCGGCGCTTCGTAAAGAGAGAGAGATCCAAGCGGCTGGGAAGTGAGGTGATGTGGAGGAAACACGTGACCAGCCGCGGAGGATCTCTGGGGGGAAAGAGAAGACTGGCCGGCGTCCTGATGTGACAGGGAGCTGCCGCTCCGCTGTTACCGGCTTTTTTTTTTTTTTTTTTTTTTTTTTGTGGCTCGCTACCCCCGGCTTACTGCTGACTACTACCCTCGGCCGGCTGGATTGATCCTGGACCAGGGAGACCCGGGAATACCAGGAGAACCACCCTGTGTCCCTGGGGCGAAATTCAGATGGAAAAAGTGAAGCATAGTGTCGGAGATCCAGAGGAATCCCCCCCAGGACTGAGCTGAGCTGCTGTGAAGGATCCCCACTCAAGCCTGGAGCCTCTGTCGGGGTGAGTGAGAGCTGATGGGGGGCTTATGGCGTAGTAGATCCCTAAGTGAAATTAGGGACAAAGGGGGCCAAGGAGGTGAGGGGAGGTTTCTCTGGGTCTAGAAGAGAACAAGAGAAGAGCCCTAGGTGCTTCAGGAGAACAAAAAATAAGGAAAAAATAACAAGTATATCAGGTCCACAAATCACAAAGGAGCGGTATAATCCCATCCAGAGAATATAGAAGAGAAAAGACATATAGAGGATATGAAGAATAAAGGTCCCAAGGGAGCAGGGCTCAAAGGGTCTCAAACAAGCACGATAAGGAAGTTTACATCACATGGACATATTACGCCAGAAAGGGCCCAAGGCGCAAGCGCAAAAGGGGAAAATGGACACTAGCTCAGGGAATATAGTCCTAGATTATCACTGGATATGAATAGCTCCTGTAACCAACAAATAGCGGATGGCTTGGGGAAACAAGATCTTGATGGTGAACTACAAGTACCAAATAAGGAGATGATAGAAATGTTTCAAAGTCTGAGAGAAAACGATAAAACATGAAATGACAGCTATTCGAAACGATTTAGGGCATTTGCTATTGAGAATGGAAGAAACAGAGGGAGAAAGTTAAAACCCAGGCCCAAACCATAGATAATCTAAGGAAAAAAAACAGCCCATCTAGAGAAAACTCAGAAAAAACTGCTCTATAGGATGGAAGTGCAAGAAATAAAGAAAGGAGTAACCTTAGAGTACGAGGAATTCCAGAGTCTGTAAAAGGGGGAACACTATATGAATTAGTAAATAAAATTTTAAACTCCATAAGAGACAGACCTGAAACAGACGGGATTAAACTAGATGGAGTGTTCAGAACAGGAAATTTCCAACAAGCTACTGAGAAAGAAAGACCGAGAGTAATTGTTCAGTTCCAAAAATTTGGGGTCAAGGATGAGATATGGAAGATCAAAGGAAGATCATTAATTAAATATGGGAGACTTGACTATCCAAATTTATGCGGATTTAACATCAGAGACTCTATGGAGGAGGAGATCCCTGAGACCCCTGTTGGAGCAAATGAGAAAGCAGAATGTGCAGTATAGATGGGGTAATTCAGCATCTTTAATTGGGTGGAAAAATGGGGTTACAGCTTATCTGAGATCCCCGGAAGATCTGAGAGACTTTTGTGATAGACTGGACTTGCAAAGATTGGAGTGATAGCTGGGTATCCACAAATGATTTGTAGGCAGATTACAAGCCTAAAAATGGGTAGGGGAAAAAAAGAGAGGGGGGAGAGGCGGGGGGGGAGATGGGGATTGGGGGGTGGTGGTGGTGGGTGAGGGGGGTTGGGTGGGAGAGAGCGGGGGAGGGGAGGTTTGGGTTAATATTCTGCAAGATAGAAGGATCTAAGAGGAGGAGGCGAGTTAGAGGAGAGATAGACAGAACAAAGTAGGATGGAAGAAATACAGTTTATAACATATAATGTGAACGGGTTGAACTCCCTGGGAAAAGATTTAAGTTGTTTAAAGAGTTACATCATAGGGCAACATCAGTGGTATTTTTACAAGAAACACATTTTGAGATAGAGTCAAATGTAAAATTAAAATCTAAATATTTTCCAACATGGTATTACGCTGACTCTCCAATTAAAAGAGCAAAAGGGGTGGCAATAGGGTTGGCAAAGAACATGAGATTTGAGTTGGAGGATAGAAAGACCGATCCAGAGGGGAGGTTCTTGTTCTTGAAAGGCAAATTACAGGGAATCGAGTGCACGTTAGCCAATATATATTGCCCCAACAAAAAGCCGGAGATCTATTTGAAGGGTCTGCTGAAAAAATTGATAGAATTTAAAAAAGGGCGTTTGATAGTAGCAGGAGATTTAAATCTCTGTATGGATCCACAAAAAGATACAACCTCCCCTGTGCAAAGAGAAGGTGGTAGGTCTCTGAGAGCTTTGAAAAAAGCGATCCACGAGTACCAACTTGTGGACACCTGGAGAATTATGCATATGAAAGACAGAGACTATACCTTCTTCTCCAATGCACATGAGATATATTCGAGACTGGACTATATCCTAATAGATCACCAACTTATAGAACTGTTGGTTAAAATAGAAATAGAGATGAGTACATTCTCGGACCATGCCCCTGTCATTATGAAAATGGGATGGGGGAGACGGTGGACGGGAGGCCTAGGA